TATACAAACAAGGCAAACGCAATTGCGTTGATAACTATCGTCCCATTTCTATTGTTCCTATTGTGGCTAAGGTTTTTGAAAGGGTAATTTATGATCAGCTATATACATTTATAGCTAAAAATGAATTATTAACTAATTATCAATCGGGATTTCGAGGCCTACATTCTACTGTCACCTCTCTTCTTGAGGCTACCAACGAATGGGCTTATAATATTGACAGTGGTAATGAAAATGCTGTAATGTTTCTTGATCTTAAAAAAGCGTTCGACACTGTAGATCATGAAATATTGCTGAACAAACTTAATGCATATGGAATCAAGGGAACTGCGGGTAACTGGTTAAGATCGTATCTAAATGAACGTAATCAAAAGTGTTTTGTTAACGGTCATTTCTCCTCGAATCGATTACTACAATGTGGGGTTCCTCAGGGAACTATATTAGGCCCGCTTTTATTTTTAATCTATATTAATGATCTTCCTAATTGTCTAATACACTCTCGGGCACGAATGTTTGCTGATGACACTAATTTGACATATGCAAGTAATAACATACATGAAATTAATCATAATCTTAACGAGGATCTTGCTAGTGTCAGTGAATGGTTATCAGCAAACAAACTTACTTTAAACCAGACTAAAACTGAATTTATGCTAATTGGCTCTCGCCAAAGAATAAACACTTTTCAATCTACTCCTTTATTAGTAATAAATAACGTTCCAGTTAAACAAGTCTCTCATACAAAATCACTCGGCGTACACATTGATGAGAACTTATCCTGGAATGTTCATATTGAGAAACTGAGTAAAAAAGTTGCTTCCGGTATTGGTGCACTAAAACGCATTAGACCTTATGTTCCTTTTACCACAATGCAACTTATTTACAAGTGCTTAGTTCAACCATATTTCGACTACTGCTCTGCTGTCTGGGATAGTTGCAGTAGTTATCTAGTTAACAAATTGCAAAAATTACAAAATCGTGCTGCCAGGGTATTGACATCTTCTAGTTATGATACAAATGCCGATTATCTTTTCGAAAGTCTTGGATGGAAAAATCTTGTATCTCAGCGTAGGCTTACCAAGGCTATCATGGTGTATAAATCCTTGAATGGTCTTGCTCCAGATTATCTTTCTAATATGTTTGTTGATCGCAATAGTATCACAAATTATGCATTGAGAGACACCAGTAACAAACTAGCTTTGTCACTACCGCGTACTATTACTTGAAAAATAGCTTTAGTTATAGCGGTGCAGTACTGTGGAATTCTCTTCCTACTGAGTTAAGACAGGCTAGTACTTTACATAAATTTAAGTCTGACTGTAGCAACTTTATTCAATAATTTTTAAATATTTTATCTAATTTTATCAATTTAATGCACGGCACTCATGAAAAACAGGCAGTTTTGTAAATATGTATAGTATAATTTATCATATATCTAATTTCCTTTGTTACTTTATCATAAGTGTGTAAAATCCTGATGAGTCCACCGTGACTAAATAAAGTTCACAACAACAACATCTTTCTGCTTGCGCTGGGTATGGAAATTATATAATACACACTCTAGCTAGAACATTTTCATCTTAACATATTACAGAACTAGTATTGTTCGATGCTGAATTAATATAAACGAGTATGTTTATGACATTCAGTATATATTTCATAATTTCCAGTTTTAAATCCGTCTGACCGTGTAGCTCAGTTGGTAGAGCGTCGATCTAGTAATTCGAAGGTCGCGGGTTCAAGACCCAGCCGCGGCAGACAACATATTTCTGCTTGCGAACATTTTCATCTTAATATATATATATATATATATGTGAAAAATGATATGCCAATGTTTTCCCACGTGCAATGTTTTCCCACGTGTTTTGCCAATGTTGCCAATGTTTTCCCACGTGCAGCACGTTTAAGAAGACGTGATGCACGTTTAGAAACGCAGCGCACACACGTGTTTGCCTTCTTCCAGCTGTTCCTTCGTGAATTCGCGAGGATTGTATTTTGCTTGTCGTGGTCCAAGTTTCGGGAATGATTCGTCTGTGATTTTGTCCTGTGCCTGTCTTCCTACTGCGTATATACCATTCAAAACCTGGCCCATGTCTCTGCCTTCATGCAATTCAACAGTCTGGAACATGTCAGTCTTTTCACATCCATAATCTGCAGCTGCCTTGAGGAAATTGGAGATGTTCTCCATCTGCTTGTAGGGGTTGGTAGCTCCTTCATTAATCTTTGCAATACTACCCTCTTTAACAGAATTCATTAGTTTGCAAATGAGTACACCATCCTTCAGTGCCTTGTGGAATTCTTTTTGTCCAAGTGGCTTCATTCTCCATTCATTAAGCTGCTCGATTGTCTGCACGTCATCGCCTGGGTGCGCTAGGAGGATCCCGGTCACATCCTCAATCCAGAGTCTAGCGTTTTGTTCCGCATTTGGATCGTATTTAGCATCGAGCTTTCGCCTAGCTTCGGCAGCAATACCAGATGGTTGCGCTCGGTGGGACATGTTTCACTCGAGTTGAAGTATACAGCAAGGCAGTGCGACACTTCTGATGCGCTGGCTGGCAGAAAATGAAAGATGTGAAAGAGTGAGGGGAAGAGTCTAATCAAAGGGTTAACATTCGTTGACACGCTGAAGGAACAAAGAACCTGAATGCTGGACTGGTATTCCAGTTATTATTGTTGTTATTTCATTATGATTAGCTTCCTCTTTTAGAGACGCGCACTCTGGCAACAATGATGTTTATGCTTAGTTTTCGGGTTCTCCGACAGGTGGCGTCACGCCTTTGTTGTCGTGAAAGGATGATGCTTAAGCCAACCTGCTATGTTATTACCACCTGCTACGCATGCGTAGTTTTTCACCCTCAATTATTTGTCTACGATGAATATTTGATGTGTGATTAATTGTAAATGTTTAGCTACATTTATTGTGAAGGGGTGGGTGGATATTGAATTAAATAAATGTATGTAACACTGCTAATGCGCTTTTCATCCTTATTCTTTCACTTCAGATTCTCTTCCCGTCTTTTAAACTCACCGTTGCTGGGTCCCAAGTCCCAGATGTGAAAGAGTGAGGGGAAGAGTCTAATCAAAGGGTTAACATTCGTTGACACGCTGAAGGAACAAAGAACCTGAATGCTGGACTGGTATTCCAGTTAAGTATTATATATATATATATATATATATATATATATATATATATATATATATATATATATATATATATATATATATATATATATATATATATATATTATTATATATATATATATTATTATATATATATATATTATTATATATATATATATTATTATATATATATATATTATTATATATATATATATATTATTATATATATATATATATATTATTATATATATATATATATATATATATATATATATATATATATATATATATACCAGGATCTAAACGGTGCAATTTATGCCTCGAGGAGAAACTATACTCATTATGAAAGCGAAGAAAATTGAATGCTTTACAAACGCTCTGGCTTGTTTTCCAAATGTAGACATGTAACCAGATAATTAATCAAGTTGTAAAACGATAACCTGTATTTATTATGAATATCGAATAATATCTGTCAGTTGCCTGATGATCGCGTAAAGCGTGAAACTCAGAGTAGCGACGCAAACATTCAAATTGCTTAAAAATGAAACTACGTTTTAGCTAATTATTAACCTTGATTAATATTTAACTTTCACTTGACGATTTGTACAGATTGATACTTTATACTTTTAAGAATACTTACATCAAATCAATCGTGAAGGAGGGTTTCGCAAATTTCACACAAATTTATACCCAATCAAACGACAGATCAAAAGGAACAACGCTGGCGCGATATAGTATTTGTGATGTATTCAAAACGAAACTACAAACAATAAAGCATTTCTTGGAAGCCTCACAATAACTACGCTTCTGTGGGAAACTTAATTTATTATGTCGAACAGCAGGGGTGAAGACATTAAGGGGGTGGGGGATAAAATATATCCCGAAAGTGCGTGGGGCTATAACCCTTTTAAAGTTTTGGGGTCTTCTAATATATATAACTAGACAAAAAAATCTAATAGATATTATAATATGTTCTAATAGATCAGTCAAGCAATGTTTTTATACAGTATACGCAATCTTTTCATTAGGCCTAAGAATCAATGAACACTTTCATAATGCTTTGACACAAGTGCGATATAAAGTATCACAGAAGCAGGAATAGAAAAGAAAATTTTAGTTTTGGGACTTGCAAAGACAATATGTTCCTTTTCGTATGCTTGAGTTGTGCTTTTCTCATTCGCGTGAACCAGAATAGTGAGTCGAATAAAGCAAAGCGCCAATCATGCATTTATTGCATAATTATACTGTTATACAGTATACAGTATACAGCATGAACTCATATTGCTGTCGAAAACGTAGTTATAACTACATCTGTAAATGTATTGGTATATATATTCAACTCTGTTTAACAGTTTAGATTTTAGGATAACTGTATCAACTCTATGGTCTTCTACTATGTACTATATGAATCTGGATAGCACGGGAGCTATTCCACGCATGCAGGCTGGATTTTATCCTGTATTTTTTTATTATCCACCCTGATTTAACAGATTCGGCTGTCTGTAATCACCTGCATGCATGTAACGCTTACGCTATAACAGCATCTCCAGTCAGATTCAAACAATGTCGATCATGTTTGGTTTCGTTTTAATGCATATTCGATCGTATATCGACTAAAATCTGTGTGTAAACGTTTATATTAAAAACGCTGAGAATGTGCAGTAGCTATATATTAGCCATGCTAAAAGCGACCTCAGAAACCTTAAATTATAAGGTCAATGATTATACTTGCTTAAAATGAAATGAATTTTTAGCTAATTATAGTAGATTAACCTATACAACTGGCGGCGGAAGTAATTAGTATGCAGATGACGTCAGCAACTATTTTGTCGCATAACATGTGTCGCGCGACATGAATTGTCGCATAACATGTGTCGCGCGATATGAATTATTGCATAACATTTATCGCGCGACATGAATTGTTGCATAACATTTGTAGCGCGACATGACATCAGCAATTATTTTTGTCACATAACATTTGTCGCGCGATGTTTTGTATAAAACATTGGTTTTCGAATAAGAAAGAGTATAGTGTTCATAGTTCTGAGATAACACTGTTGATATGGATACGAAAATTAAGGATTGTCAAACGATAGCGGAGTTAACGTCCTTGGAGAGGTTGAATACGTTGAGTGAAGCGGAACAACGGCTTGTGTTTGAGAAGAAAATGGATATTTTTCAGCGTATAAGGGAATGGCGAATAGAAAACGAGCGATTGGGGCTTGTGGCTGATCTTTCGGATACCTGGACCCCAGAACAACGAGAGAGATTTCTGTATGATTGACAAAACGACGAGCCTTTGTTACAGGTTGGTTGTGGACAGAAAAGATCTTATGATGAAATGAACGATGGCGCAATTGATGAG